CCTACTTCTGTAGTGATACTGCCTCGGAAACCCAAGGAGGGGTCGCTATGAGTCGGGTTTGACTCGACGGCACATAACAACAACAACAAGGCTTACTTTATGGCCTTACTTTACTTTATGGTCTATCCTGGAGAATGTTCCATGTGCGCTGGAAAAGAATGTATATTGTGCTGTTGTTGGGTGATGTGCTCTGTAGATGTCTATAAGGTCAAGTTGGTGAATTGTTTTGTTTCATTCTTCTGCATCTTTGTTGAGTTTCTTTCCAGTTGTTCTTTGATTGAAAGTGGTGTATTAAAGTCTCCTCCTGTGACTGTGGAGTCATCTGTTTGTCTTTTCAATTCTGTGAAAGACTGATTTATGTATTTTGCAGCTCTTTCCCTGGGTCCATAGATATTTATTATGATTATAATTTCTTGTTCAATTGATCCTTAAATCCTTATGTAACATTCTCCCTTCCCTCTTATGGTGGTTTTTGCCTTTAAGTCAGTTTGATCAGAAATTAATAGTGCCACTCCTGCTCTTTTTTTGGTTGCCATTGCTTGATATATCTTTTTATTCCACACTTTGATTTTTAGTCTGTATTTGTCTTTGTCTCTAAGGTGTTTCTCTTGTAGACAGCATATTGATGGATTATATTTTCTTATCTAGTCTGCAACTCTCCATCTCTTGAATGGTGCATTTAATTCATTGACATTCAGTGTAATTATTAACAAGTATGAATTTGTTGCTGTCATCTTGTTGTGTGTTTTTTCATGGTGCTCTTGGTTTTGTTGTTCCATATAATTTTCTGTGCCAAGCTCATTATGTTTATGAAGCGTGTTATCATTTCCTTTGTTACTATTGTTTCAATATTTGCTAAATATTTGTGCTTGTCCTCTTTTTTATTTTGATGTGAAGGTTTATCATTTTTTTCTTTGAAGTTATACTGTGATTTATAATTTTCTCCCTGAGTTCAGATCAGTCCTTTCTATCTTGCAGCTCTCTTGACTTCCTTACCATTTTGAAGTTCTGTAACTACATTATTTTTTCCCTGTTTTTGGTTTGTAGTTGTCCTCATTTTCCAATTGTTGTCTCTGGTTCCCTGTTTACAATCTTGTAAGCTTATTTTACTTTGGATACTTTCATAGCTGTTTTTGTTTCTGGGTTATGTCATCTTGTGCATTAATGGTTGGTTCCTGTTTGCTATTATTGGTTCTCTTTCAAAGGACTCCCTTGAGCATCTCTTGTAAGTTTGGTCTGGTTTTAACAAATTCCTTTAATTTCTGCTTATCTGGTAATTTCCTAATTTCACCATTATATATGAGAGACAGTTTTGCTGGGTATATAATTCTTAGCTGGAAATGATTTTCTTTCAGCATTTTATATATACCATCCTTGCCTTGTCTATATGATTTCTGCTGAGAACTTAGAGCTTAGTCTTATTGGTGGCCTTTTGTGGGTCACTTTTCCTTTTTCCCATGCTGTTTTCAGGATTCTTTCTTTGTATTTAGGCTTGGTGAGTTTGATGATGATGTGTCTTGGTGGTTTTCTTTTAGGGTCTATCCCGTTTAGGGTTCACTGGACTTCCTGATTGGATATATTCTCATCTTTCATCATATCAGGGAAGTTCTATTCTAACAAATCTTGGACAATTTTCTTAGTGGTTTTCTTTTTCTCTTGCTGTTGTGGAATTCCAGTTACATGTAGGTTATTCCTTTGGATGTATCCCACATGAACCTTAGGCTTTCTTCATTTTGTTTTGATCTTTTTTTATGATTGATCCCTTTCCAAAGACGTATTCAGGTATTTGTCTTCAATCTCATTAATTCCATTGATTAGATTCTACTCCTTTGCTCTTTCAACGTGTTATCTATTTCTGAAAATTTAGTATTAATCTTCTGGATTTCTATCTGTAGATTTTGTATGATTTCCAGTTTTTCATTTATTTTGTCATTTTGTTTGTGTATTTTCTTCTAAAATTGTTCTGGGGTTTTGTCTGTGTTTTTCTTAAATTTTGTCAGTGTTTTCCTTGATCTGTCTCTCTCTCAATATGTTGAAGGTACCCAAATAAAATTATTTTGAATTCCTTAGGGCATTCCAATGATGCTTCTTCCTCAAGGATGTATTTTGGGTCTGTATCCTGGTCCCTTGTTTCTCCTGCTTTATCTTGCTTCTTTGTGTGGACTGTGATGGTCTGTTTTCTCTGAGACATTGTGATGTTGTATTAATATTTAATCGGTGATTCTATGTTGGAGTGATTTGCCCAAGATTTTTATTTTGTTTGTTTGTTTTGGATGTATCTGAGTAAGCAAGGTACTGTGCTCCTCTATTCGCTAGTTGGCAGCACTTTTTCACTCACTACCTGTGTCCTGGTGGGTGTGATGGAGAATGAGAGTGGCTGCATAGGTCTCTGTTAACTTTTTTTGAACAGCATTTAAGGGTAAATCAGGCTCTTATTGGTGGTCATGTCTCATTGGCCAGTTGGTACAGAAGGAGTGGTGGCTTTCACACAGTAAGTGGAGCTGCAGGAGGCACAGGTGTGTTTGGGTCATATGGCTATGGTTGCTATCTCCCACTCAGTTAGACAAAAGCAATCAAAAAACCATCAAAAAAAGTAAAAGCAAGAGGACAAAAAACACATACTACATAAACACCCAGGAACAATCACCACAAAGAGATAAAAGGAAGAAGGAGGAAAAAAGGAAGGGCAATAAATGAGAGAACATATTTAAACAAGTACTTTATAAAGCTAAATGACATATGAATAGAAATATGGGGAAATGCATTCTGGGGAGGAGGGAATAACAGAAAAAAGGTCGAGTAGGAGAATAATGAAGAAAAAATAATGAAGAGAAAAATGGGAAAATGCACAAAGAAAAGCAAAGAATGGGGAGAACCCCCAAACCAAAAAAAACAAACTCACTGCCCTGAAGTCAGATCTGACTCATAGTGACCCATCCTTGGTTTTCTGAGGTGGTATCATTATGGAAGTAGATTGCCCAACCTTCCTCCTGAGGAGTGGCTGGTGGGTTTGAACCACCAGCCTTCTGGTTAGCAGTCAGATGCCATAAGAAAGAAAAAAATAGGAACTAAGAAAAAGGGAAGAGGAAAAGCCAAAAACTAGAACCTGGAAAGGGAAGAAGAAAGAATAGTAATAAAAAGGATGAGGAAATAAAATAATAATTTTAAAACAGAAAAAAAAAACTAAAAAAGAGGAAAAATCTGGGCAGCGTGGGGCAGGGCACCCAGGCTCCATCCAAGCACACAGACTGGGATGGAATTCCTGCCAGCCCAGAAGGTGGGTGGGAGTGAGTGATGGCCACACCCCCGTTCACCAAGAGGGTGTGGGGTATAAAAGTAACAAGGAGAATGTCTCACCTTTCCAGTCCTCAGTGTCCGGAATGTCCTTGCAGTCCCCAGCAAGTGGAACCTGTTCTTAGGTCCCTAGAATCTGAGAGAATGCTGTCACTTTAAATGTCCAAAATTGTTGAACCACTTTTAAGCATTCAGAATGGCTGAACCCTCCAGACAGCCAAAAGTCCACAGTTCAGCCCACCTCCCTCTTTGCTACTTCCTCTTTTATTCACCAGCCACCACTGCAGTCCTCCATGCAGCCCCTGGCTAGCAGGGCTGATTTTTAGGTTAATTCTTAAGTCTTAACGCCACTTGGCAATATTCAAACTGTCCATGCCATCAGGATCACTAAGAGTCTGCAACTCTGTACGTCTCCTTTTTTGGTGTTTTCATGCAGGTTCTTCTACTAGTTGGATTTTTGTCCACTTCTGTATCCTTCCTTTCAAAGCTCAGGGCTCCAGGATTGTCTTCTGTATCTGTATTAATTGGCTCCTCTTCTCTTGTTGAAGAGGGTCTGTGTAATTTGCCTGCTTATTGTGCCATCTTACTGGAACTCCCTAGTGCATAAAGTTTTATAGCAATGTGTAATGAGTGTGTGTCTCCTCCATTAGCCCCTAAGAGCCACAGGGGCAGAGACTGGCCAACTTTGCTTAGGGTTGCATCATCAACACCAGCATGGAGCTGCCCACAGTGGGCACTCCATAAGTATTTTGTGAGTGAAAAAACCTGATTGAACCCAAATACTTTTCTGAGTACAGGTGCCCCCCTGACTGAATCCTTTAACAAAGTGCTAAGGTGCACATGCCTGACACAGTAAAAGCAGCAAGTAAAAACCTGTGTGTAGGATGCAGATCAAGTAGAAGAGCTGATTTTCCTGGACCCCCTGTTCCTTCATTCAGGGGTTATTAGGAACAAGAAACAAAATGACTGTAGCTAAGGGGTCCTCATCTTATAATTCTGACTTCCATGTAGATGTTGGGTGATTCTTCTGAGACTGACATCAGCAATGAGGCTCAGCGCCCCAGGACCAGCACAAACACTGTGGAGGAGAAACTGAGAAACCGCTTGTATGAGTTAGCAATGAAAATGAGTGAAAAGGAGACTTCTTCAGGGGAGGATCAGGAGTCTGAGACCAAGACAGAATCAGAGAACCAGAAGGCAAGTCTGTCCTCTGAAGACAACAGCCAGAGTGTCCAGGATGAGCTGAAGAAGGTAAGGCTGTGAAACTACCACATACACTCACTTTTCTGCAGATGGGGTGGTGGGGAAGGGCTCTGTATTTGTACAGGGATGTGCTGGGTCCAGAGACTCTCTAAAATGCCCATCCATCTCCACATGGGAATGGCCAAGAGAACTCTTCTTGATTGATGCTGAGTGGTACAACTGGGGAAAGAGCAGATTCCTAGAACATCTTCTAAGGCTTCTTGTCTCCTCCTAAGGTTCTTCCTAAAGACATCCCTTCCATTTCAAGTCTGTAATTAGTGCTCATGATTTCTCTCACTTGGAGAAAGCAATGTTGTTTTCCCTCCACACCCTCTCCTTGAGGATTTCTGCCCATGGGTGGAGATCCTGTAATGTACCCCTCATTTAATTAGTGATGAAACATCATTCCATGGTATATAGAGTCTTTGTGTTGAAAGTGTCCTTCTGGATAATTTATCTTTGGAATTTTCAGACTTTTGTTTGTTTTAGACCCATAATCCTTTTTCAAAGAAGACCCTATATAGAATCGTGATTTGAGAAACAGATAAAAGTACTGCTGCTCTTAGGGACCCAAAAACCCAAAACATATTTTCTTCAGTCTCACTCTTCTCCTGAGCCAGCCCCTGAGTTCAAAAGGAAGACCACAGAAGGTACACCCAGCCCCTCAATCAGTTTCTGACAGAAAGGACTTCCGGACTCGCTCCCTGCTGTGTGTGCCTGGGTTCTTCCACTATAGCTTCTCAAAGCACATTCATGTTAGACATGGATACCCACACCTGCCTGCTATGGAAGAGAGAGAAACTTATGTTTGTTGAGGGCCTCCCATGTGCCTGGTGCCTTGCACGTGTCAGCTAATTTGGTAATCAGCCTTTGAAGTAGATGAAGCCCCATTTTGCAGGTGAGAAAACTGAGGCTGAGTCATTAATGTACTTGTCCAAGGCCCAGGAGAGTTCCAGAGGGAAATAGATCCCATCTCTATGGCTGAGCCCTGAATTCTCCAATACCCTGGAGTTTGCCTTTCACTCATTGCCATCCCACCCTCCCTAACCATTGAGTCCTCACCCATAAATCTTCTGGGGCTTCTGCATGAGAATAGCAGGGATAATACACACATCTCTGCCTTAGAGTGTCTGTGGGTTGGCAGGCCAAGCATGATCCCCACAGGCAGTCCTCCACAGTCCCTCACCCATTGCTTCCCTGATAGTAAAGGGCTCTGATCCTCTCTGTTACTTGAACTGATGCTACATTACAGTCAAATTGTGTGCTGAAGCTGAAAGCCAGATGATCACTGAAGAATAACACATTATTTCTAACAATGGCCCTGTGTCTGACTGGTTTTGCTGCCCGATGGTCCAAGGGCTTCAGACACTCACCCTGTACAGTGGCATGCCAGGCCACAGTGGGTCAGCACTCACCTACTGGAGAGAGAGCACCAACCAGAACTGTGCTTTCCTGGCACAATATGAACAGAGAGAGAAAGAGACACTGAGGGGCTTCTGGGGACTTGAACAAGCTCCCCATTCCTACTCCATGTCCTCACTGAGCAGGAAACTAGAAAAGTCACTTTTATTCAAACCCCCAAATGTGTCAATTCTTCAAAGTTCCAGTCTTTCGAACCAGACTACCATAGTCAATGGATTAAATATTCAACCAAACATCACCCTTTCCATGTAAAATTTCATATAGAAAACAAAAAGTGATATATATTTTCTCTATCAGGCATGGGTACTCTGGTTTAAGGCAAACAGAAATGCAGGTTTATATACTGAGTATTATTTAAAGACAGAGCAGTATAGAGACAGGCATCAGGATTAGACTGAGTCTGAAACACAGCCATGCAATTTGTAAACTCTGTGAACCTTGGTTAATTTTTAACTCACTTCGGCCACTAAGAAAAAGCCAGTGTTAGTAATTTCCTGCTCATTATATGCAACTGACCTCCCTCTTCCTGCAGGCCCCTTCTTGACCCCTCTGATCTTTTCTCTCCACCCTGTCGCCTGAGCTGTTCTGCAGTCCCTGTTCTTGCCCGATTATATCAACAGGCCTGGGTCGGCATTGTTTTTTCATTGATCCCTAGGACCCAGCCCCATCTTAATTGTTGATTAGAATAAACACATTTGGCCTCATCTGTAAAATGGGGATAATCATATGCCACTATAACTTGTGAGGATTGAATTACACAGTGCATGGTTTAACACATATCAAGAACCCAAAATAGTAATTCTCACATCCCCTCTAACAATCTCATGAAAGATAAACTTCACATTCATGAAATAGCATCCATCTGCTGGCACTGAAGGAACAGCTTAGTGCCTATTTCCAATCAACACTTGCAGTGTCATCCTGTAGGTCTGTAGCCGCATTTGGTGCTGCCTCATATGATGCAGAATGTAAGTGGGAAAATCACTGCATCGGACCCCCAGGCTCCCATCTTCAGGATCAGAGTAGCTGTGACTTCTCCTGTGATCCAACCAGAATTAGTATGCACAACACACCCAGAAATACAGGTTTGTATACTGAATATTATTTAGAGACAGAGCAGTGTAGAGATAGGCTTCAGATTAGACTGAGTTTGAAACACAGCCATGTAATTTGCAAACACACACACACACACACACACACACACACGATTGGAGAGTGCATCTGGGCTAATGTAACTATTCCAGAAGCTGTCTGTGCTTCTCCCTTATCTCTTGGCAGTGCACACTGACCAAAACTCCAGTTGCCTGAAGGCTTTCTCTAGCAGGAAGATCTCCTCTTTCTGTGCTAAAGGCAGCATAGAAGGACAAGAGAAAAAATACTTCTCCAGGGCAGTCCTCAGTGACTGATAGAAAGACTGTATAAACACTCCTGATCCTTTGCCTTGGAAGAGTGGGATAACTCTGACTCTTGAACTATATACATTGACTCCAGATTCCATAGTGGAATGTAGCTTTAGGCACACACAGTGATAAACTGGTTGATAAGACAGTCTCTACTGATTCCCTTCCCTTCCATGTCTCACTTCCTCTACAGTTTCCTGGGATCTCCTTCTCTCTTGGTCATCTAATGCTGCTATAACAGAAGTACCACAAATGGATGGTTTTAACAAACAGAAATTTATTCTCCCAGAATTTAGGAGGCTAGAAGTCCAAAATCAGGGGACCAGCCCTAGGGAAAGGCTTTCTCTCTTTGTCATCTCTGAGGGAAGATCCTTGTCTCCTTTTAACATCTGTGGGCTTAGCATTCCTTGGAGATCTCCATGTGGCTTGGCATCCAACTTCCCCTGGGTCTAGGATGTTCTCAGCATAGGGAACCTGGATCCAAAAGATGCTGCTAGTTCTTCTTTCTTGGTGGTAGTGAGGTCCCTCCTTCCCTACTCATCTTTCTCTCCTTTTATTCCTTGTAAGATAAAAGATGATGCAGGACACACCCCAGGAAAATTCTCCTTACATCAGATCAGGGCTGTGACTTGAGTTAAGGTGTTGCAGCCCACCCTAATCCCCTTACAACTGATTGGCTGATCACATCAGATCACATCATGGGGGGTGATCACATCATTACATAGCTGCCAAATTACATCATCAGGTAACTGCCAGACCAGAGTATCATGGCCCAACCAATTTGACACATATTTCAGGGACACAATTCAGTCCATGCTACCTCTAGATAAATTCTTGGCACTCAAATCCGTGTCTTGGAGTCTGCTTCTGGGGGACAGCAGTAACAAACAGGAGCAAATATAGAGTCCTCAGTTCACAAATAATCAGTCCAGTATTGTGAATAAGCAGTTAGGAAATCCAAGTGCCAGTTGGCTGCTAATTGCCCTTACCTTGCCAAGAGGAGCCTTGCCTTATACTGAGAGAGCTTTATGCAGACTTCACAGTCCTTCCTGCCTCCACCACTGTCCAGGCTCACTGGGAGCCCAAGCAGAGGAATGTGCACATTCCAGTGACCTCAGTGGTATAGGTCATTGGCCTCAGTACGACATCTCACCTAGGAAATGAGCTCCCAAATCCTGCCCACCAGCAGTGGAACAATTTTAGGAACAGTTTTTCTTGATTAGTGTCGGCCTTTTGCTGTAGACTGAATCGTTGCTATGTTTGGCTTAAATGTCTCTCTCTGGCTGGGTGTTGGGGGCTCAGTGATGATTCATGGATAGTCACAGACTGACAAGCTGATAGAGCTTTGGGCCAGCCCCAAAACCTCTTGGGAACTAGATTTCTAAATGTCATTTCTTCTTTAAGTAACAGTTTGGTTCCCATCAAACCTCAGTGGTTGTCCTTATAAACTGTGTGGTCCTCAGAGCCTGAGGGTGAGCACTAGCTTCCCGGCTTCCACTGGGAAGGGGGATGTGCCAGTGGTCCTGTCCCAGCTGAAGTGGCTCTTAGAACTACTTTGCTTCCAGGGTGGAAAGAAGGGCCACAAATTACTGAACTGAACTTTAGAGATGATACTCAAGGACTGAGTATCCCACAAAGCCCCCAAATCTTCCCAGTCATGGAACACTGATCCCTAAGATTCCTTTTGACTCTAAAACTCTGTGGTTCTTGATATGTAGTGGATTAAATAGATTCTTGTTTCCTGGCATAAGAATCATATATAACATTGCTTCTATGACAAAAGATATCCTATATATCAAACTTTCTGGATACCAATGTTTGTTGAAGGCTGTAATTAGTTAATTCTCAAATTATAGTCAAGTTTGTATATCTGATGTCCTGAAAGCATTTTTATTTGAAATGTCTTTTAAAAAGAAAAAGAAAGAAAAATTACTATTATAAGTAACTGAGTTACTCTGCTTTACTTTCATAAGGGAATCACTGACCAGCAGATACCTTCACTACTTATGTTATTGTTATCGTATACCATCAAGTCAATTCAGACTCACCATGACCCTACATGAGAGAGTAGAACTGCACCATAGAGTTTCCTAGGCTGTAACCTGTATGGGGACAGATCGCCTGGTCTTTTCTCCCATAGAGCTGCTGAATGGGTTTGAACCACCACCTTTTCAGTTAGCAGCTGAG